GAAAAAATGGGGAAGACAGTATGAAAAACAACGAGAGAAACGGTGGAGAAGAGTATAAAAAAGCTAAGGAATAGTGGAATTTTAGAGGGAAATAGGTCAATAAAGGCCGAAAAAGATGGATACAGGCATTAAGAAAGAGAATTTGCTAGGGCACTTTGAAATTTTTTAGGAGCAGTAAGGCACGTTAAATTTAGAAGAAAGGAACACGAGAACACAAAGTAAGGATGAGACTAAAAGGCCATCGGAAGAAGAAAACGAGCTGGAGGATACACTGACTGCAAATATTGCAGGAGCCAAAGTGCTAAATACACTTAAGGAAATGAAAAATAACAAGGCAGAAGGAGTAGATGGAATACCAGTAGAATTTTTCCATGTGATTAACTTAATCTTGAATTGGGGAGCTAGTAGAAGTCTTATACAAAATATTTATTAAATCAGAGCTATTAAAGGGGTGGAGTATTGCACAAATATTTTTAATTTACAAGGCAAACAATGAGAAAGATGTTAGAAATTACAGAGGGGTAGCTTTATTAGATATAGGTTACAAAATTATCAAAAATATATTAGCTGTAAGACTAAAAAATTAATTAGAAGCAAATAGAAAATTAAAAGAAAGTCAGCCAGAATTTGAAGGGAACCGGAGCACTAGGGACCACATATTTACACTCAATACAATGATAAATAATAAGCCGAAAAATAAAGGAGAAAGAATATATGTTTGCTTTATAGATTTCAGAACAGCATTTAATTTAGGGTGGATAGGTAAATTAAGTGGGTAAGGAGAAACGAGGAAGATACTGTTTTAAGAGAAACAAAGATCTTTAACTCAAAGTTTGCAGATGATGAAGTAATAGTTTCGGATACCAAGCAAGGATTTCAAAGCATGCCTCATAACTTAGAAAGATCGAATAATAAAAATAGACTACAAGTTAATATAAAGAAAACAGAAATCATCGTTTTTAAGAAGGGAGGCAGGCTTACAGAAGGGAAAAAACGGCACTTTAAGGGAGAAAGAATAAAAGTAGTAAATAAATACAGGTATTTAGACTTTTTGTTAATAACGAAAATGCCGTGCCATTATGTACTTAAAACAGCAAATAAAGCCAGAAAAGCAATAAGTACTGTATGTATGAAAAAGAGCTAACATTGACAGGCTTAGTAGGAGACTATATCTACTAGATACTACAGTAAAAGCCAATTGCCTATAGAGTAGAGACCTATGGTGGAAAAAATGAAAGCATTTTAAGAAAGTATAAGGAAAATTTGTTAAAATGACTCTAGGCATCAATGTAAATGCACCCGAGTCTGTATAAAAAATGGAGGCCAACAGAAAAAGCTTGGAAGTAGAAGCACTGAGAAGCGCGGGAAAATACAGATTGTACCTCACAAAAATGGGAGATAAGAGGTGGCTGAAAGTTATCTTAAAGGAGGAAATAAGATGTGCAATGAATGAAGTTCCATAGAAGTGGTTTCGATAAGTTGAGTCAGCCTTCAAAGAGCTTGGAGATATAATAGGGATTAAAGGGTTATTTAATGATAAGGGAACAAATAAGTTTGCAGGAAGGCTAGAAAGTGTTCTGAATGGGTTAAAAAAGTGGAAGAATGGGAATTTTCAAGCACCAATCAGGAAACTAGAGAAAAATTATTAAAATTACTAAAAGGGGATCTGATCATCAATTTATGCAAATTTAGTAAAGAGTTAGAAAAATTAAATGCATGGAGAATTGAGAGGCCCGTTAAATAAAGATTTAAAGAGAAAGACTGCTTATTATGTCATAATAGATAGCGTTACCCTGTGTAAAATAAAGTGGACCATAAATATTTGAGATCAATAGGTATGACAAAGGGAAGGCAGGTACATGTGAAAATGCAATAGAAAAAAACAGCAAAAGACGACGTGAGCTTGGAATGATAAGTAAAATTATAGGATGTAGATAGATAAAGAGCGTGGCAAATAGCTTAAGAACAATACAAGACCAAATTAGTAAAATTTAATTAATGCAAGCGAGAATATACGAAACTGCCGTGCAGTGTTACTTTAAAATGTAAAACAAATATAATTTCTGTACATATTAAAAACAAATAAATACATAAATAGTTTTGAGTTAATCATAATTTACTAATTTTTTGCTTATATCTTTACTAATATTACGGCTAGTTACATTTTACGACTATCAAGTATTTTTATAGATAGATGGGACACATATAAATAAAATGCAGATAAATTACTTCAGTAACCCCATTGTTACTTGTTTATAAAACATTACTTGAAAAAAAAAACCGAAAAAAATGTTTTTGATTAAAAACTTTTAGAAATAAGTTCCAGAAATTCTGCTAACTGAATTTTGATATTCATTTGATAATCAATAGCTCTCAATTAACGGAACAAAAACCTATTTGTAGATTTACAANCGCACCACTGCTCCAACAGCTCCTTCATTTACAAGGACCTCTACACGTCGTCGCACGTCTTCCTCCGAAACCACGCGACCAAACACTCGCTGTACCAGCCTTACACAGGGCCACACCTGGTGCTCGAGAGGATCGACGACCGTGTATTCAAAATCGACGTCAACGGGCGCATCGTCAACGTAAGCGTCGAGAACCTGAAGCCGGCCTTCGTGCTGCGCGAGGCGGAACAGCCCGCGCCTCCGGCAGGCAACGCCGTCCGAAATCTGCAAGGCATCACTTTCACGGCAGACAAGCTCCTGCCATAAGAATCATTTTTCTTTTCACAGTTGTGTAGTGATATGAGGCATCTACTAATATAAGTAAATTAAAGGTCAAGTTTTTACAAATTACAGTTTTATATTGTTCATCAAACATGTTTATTTGAAAAAACTTTTAACTTTTATAAGTAGGTAGTGATTTTAACAAAAAAACTTAAAGCAGAGGTATTAGTTAACTTAAATAGTATAATAGAATAATAAGTTAGTACTTGCCCATTTGTTCTTCCTCACTTTCGTTGCTAGTGACAGTTAGTGCTGTATTAATGAACTTGATGAATAAAGGAATATCTCTTTCTACTATGTTTGTTCTGTAGTTGGAGATATGTACATCTTTACTATGCCCCATGTATCGTGCTAAATCTAATAGTCCTGCATCGTTAAGATTCATCTTTATACATGCCGTTGCAAGTTGCTTACGAAGTTTCGTAGCAGTGAACACTAAGGGGTTTTGTATGCCACTTTTAATGGCAAACTTTCTCAGAACAATGTATGCTGATAAGTGTCTTATCTTGTTTAATGGCGTCTGTGGTAAACCAAATAAGTAATTATTTGTGGGATGAATGGTAAGATGACAACGATTTTCAAGCAATAATTCGACACAAATTTGAACTTGAGGAGTAACCAAAAGTTGTACATCTCGACCAAGTTTTCCTCGTGTAGTTAAGAGAGCTTACTGTCTGGAAAAGTCCTGTAACCCTTCATGTAAGTCATCATATGTTCTTATAGACTCATCGATTTTTTTCAAGCACTTCCAGTCATCTTTTAAGATTCTCTCAATGTCCCCAGGACGTCGTCGATTGTATGATTGTAGGGATGTTAATGTTAGTTTAGCAAGTTTTATGTATGAATCGTAACTATATTCATCTTTAAGACTGTTGTGAGCCTTAACCATCTCATCATTAATAAAATTAAGAAAAACATTTATTTCATCAGGAGATGGCATAGAAACTATTTTATGCCTTCGAGCATTGCCATGAGATTCAGCGGCAACTCTACTAAGTCTTCTCTTGTAGTCATTGACTATGCATAAAAGAAAGTCTTCCGCTCTCTTTTGAGAATCTTGGTCATTCTCTTTGATACACATTATTTTCTGTGTATTGGTAACAGCTTTAATCATTCCATATAGATTCTGTGCTACCGTAGGGTGAGCAAGGTAGTCTATGACTTAGTGACCATTGTTAGCCATCTTTTCAATGACACCTACTAACACTGAACTATTTTCCGGAACTAAAATATCTGAGAATTTTTTAACTGTAGAGTCCAATTTTTTCATTTCTACTTTGATTTTTCCCAGCCTTCGAAGCTGAGTCACGATATTTGCTTTATGTTGTGGTCCCCGTAACGCACAACTTATTTCATTTCCGTATTCTATCAGTAATTCGTCATAGATGATAGCCTTATACACTGAATCACGTCTAACTGAAACCAATATATTTTGCCTCAAAATATCATTCGCTTTTTGATGACATGCTGGCATCATCCTTTTTCCCATTTTCAAAAGATCATGTGTGCTCTCTGCAGCTACTCCTAAACAGTTACTCGAGTGTGTTGTGTAGGACGGTATCAGTACCATCCTTTTACATTCTGAACATGGAAGATAGTCAGATGCTTCGTGATTTTCTTTTGTAGGGACTCGTGCTACTCTAAACTGATTATTGGTTAACACAGCGTTAATATTATGGATATAATCTCCAGCATAAAGCAGTTTTTTTATAGGTTCTCTACTGAAGGCATTCGTTTTAGTTTTGTTTAACATTTTGATCACCTCAGGATTGTTTTTATGCTTCCTTTTTAAATGACGCTTGAGGTGAACTTGATCTTTACCACAAAAAGGACACAGATGCTTTATTCTGACTCGTTTTTCATTACTATTATCCTTACATGTGACAGTAATGTCATCATAGTTTGGGGCTTCTAATCCCTCACAATTAATCTTGCCCATTTTATCGAGAGGATTCGGTTTTTCAACTTTTTCTTTTTTTTTGTGTTTTTTACTTGACTTATCTTTTACAGTACTATCTTGCACAGTAAAATCTGGATCATTTGTTGCCTCACCTGTAAGTTATTAATTAGTTTTTACATAATAAAACTTTTTAAATCCTTATTAAAATGTAAATTTAAAAATTAAATTATGATTTATTTGTGTAAAATAAGTAATTGGTCCTACAAACATGTTAAGGTTCACATCAACATATTACCAATTTGTTAATAAGTTATGAGTTGTATATAAAAAATGTAAGCTTATGTAAGTAATAATCATATGCTCTAACTATGATAGTAAAACAACTTATTGTTATTACACAACTTATCAGAAAACTATGTCAACATGACTTGGACTTAAAAATTTCGCCAATGTATGATTTTTAAGGAAATAGCATTACTTTTTACTTACTGTTGATAATGGAAAGTCAATTTTTACATTAATTAAGATATATNTATCACCCAGCTGCGAACGGCCTGCTCGAGCGCTGGCACAGGTCACTGAAGACGGCCCTACGCTGCCAGGAATCAGCTGACTGGCTCGACAAGCTGCCCATGGTACTGCTTGGCCTACGCTCGGCCTACAAAGAGGACCTTAAAGCCTCGCCTGCGGAGTTCCTCTACGGCACCACTCTGCGACTACCGGGAGAGTTCCTGGAGGACCGCGATCCACCGTCAGACAGGTCCAGCTTTCTTCAGCCCTTCAGCAGACACATGCAGCAGCTCCGACCCATCCCAGCCTCGCACCACTGCTCCAACAGCTCCTTCATTTACAAGGACCTCTACACGTCGTCGCACGTCTTCCTCCGAAACCACGCGACCAAACACTCGCTGTACCAGCCTTACACAGGGCCACACCTGGTGCTCGAGAGGATCGACGACCGTGTATTCAAAATCGACGTCAACGGGCGCATCGTCAACGTAAGCGTCGAGAACCTGAAGCCGGCCTTCGTGCTGCGCGAGGCGGAACAGCCCGCGCCTCCGGCAGGCAACGCCGTCCGAAATCTGCAAGGCATCACTTTCACGGCAGACAAGCTCCTGCCATAAGAATCATTTTTCTTTTCACAGTTGTGTAGTGATATGAGGCATCTACTAATATAAGTAAATTAAAGGTCAAGTTTTTACAAATTACAGTTTTATATTGTTCATCAAACATGTTTATTTGAAAAAACTTTCAACTTTTATAAGTAGGTAGTGATTTTAACAAAAAAACTTAAAGCAGAGGTATTAGTTAACTTAAATAGTAGAAAAGAATAATAAGTTAGTACTTGCCCATTTGTTCTTCCTCACTTTCGTTGCTAGTGACAGTTAGTGCTGTATTAATGAACTTGATGAATAAAGGAATATCTCTTTCTACTATGTTCGTTCTGTAGTTGGAGATATGTACATCTTTACTATGCCCCATGTATCGTGCTAAATCTAATAGTCCTGCATCGTTAAGATTCATCTTTATACATGCCATTGCAAGTTGCTTACGAAGTTTCGTAGCAGTGAACACTAAGGGGTTTTGTATGCCACTTTTAATGGCAAACTTTCTCAGAACAATGTATGCTGATAAGTGTCTTATCTTGTTTAATGGCGTCTGTGGTAAACCAAATAAGTAATTATTTGTGGGATGAATGATAAGATGACAACGATTTTCAAGCAATAATTCGACACAAATTTGAACTTGAGGAGTAACCAAAAGTTGTACATCTCGACCAAGTTTTCCTCGTGTAGTTAAGAGAGCATACTGTCTGGAAAAGTCCTGTAACCCTTCATGTAAGTCATCATATGTTCTTATAGACTCATCGATTTTTTTCAAGCACTTCCAGTCATCTTTTAAGATTCTCTCAACGTCCCCAGGACGTCGTCGATTGTATGATTGTAGGGATGTTAATGTTAGTTTAGCAAGTTTTATGTATGAATCGTAACTATATTCATCTTTAAGACTGTTGTGAGCCTTAACCATCTCATCATTAATAAAATTAAGAAAAATATTTATTTCATCAGGAGATGGCATAGAAACTATTTTATGCCTTCCAGCATTGCCATGAGATTCAGCGGCAACTCTACTAAGTCTTCTCTTGTAGTCATTGACTATGCATAAAAGAAAGTCTTCCGCTCTCTTTTGAGAATCTTGGTCATTCTCTTTGATACACATTATTTTATGTGTATTGGTAACAGCTTTAATCAATCCATATAGATTCTGTGCTACCGTAGGGTGAGCAAGGTACTCTATGACTTTGTGACCATTGTTAGCCATCTTTTCAATGACACCTACTAACACCAAACTATTTTCCGGAACTAAAATATCTGAAAATTTTTTAACTGTAGAGTCCAATTTTTTCATTTCTACTTTGATTTTTCCCAGCCTTCGAAGCTGAGTCACGATATTTGCTTTATGTTGTAGTCCCCGTAACGCACAACTTATTTCATTTCCGTATTCTATCAGTAATTCATCATAGATGATAGCCTTATACACTGAATCACGTCTAACTGAAACCAATATATTTTGCCTCAAAATATCATTCGCTTTTTGATGACATGCTGGCATCATCCTTTTTCCCATTTTCAAAAGATCATGTGTGCTCTCTGCAGCTACTCCTAAACAGTTACTCGAGTGTGTTGTGTAGGACGGTATCAGTACCATCCTTTTACATTCTGAACATGGAAGATAGTCAAATGCTTCGTGATTTTCTTTTGTAGGGACTCGTGCTACTCTAAACTGATTATTGGTTAACACAGCGTTAACATTATGGATATAATCTCCAGCGTAAAGCAGTTTTTTTATAGGTTCTCTACTGAAGGCATTCGTTTTAGTTTTGTTTAACATTTTGATCACCTCAGGATTGTTTTTATGCTTCCTTTTTAAATGACGCTTGAGCTGAACTTGATCTTTACCACAAAAAGGACACAGATGCTTTATTCTGACTCGTTTTTCATTACTATTATCCTTACATGTGACAGTAATGTCATCATAGTTTGGGGCTTCTAATCCCTCACAATTAATCTTGCCCATTTTATCGAGAGGATTCGGTTTTTCAACTTTTTCTTTTTTTTTGTGTTTTTTACTTGGCTTATCTTTTACAGTACTATCTTGCACAGTAAAATCTGGATCATTTGTTGCCTCACCTGTAAGTTATTAATTAGTTTTTACATAATAAAACTTTTTAAATCCTTATTAAAATGTAAATTTAAAAATTAAATTATGATTTATTTGTGTAAAATAAGTAATTGGTCCTACAAACATGTTAAGGTTCACATCAACATATTACCAATTTGTTAATAAGTTATGAGTTGTATATAAAAAATGTAAGCTTATGTAAGTAATAATCATATGCTCTAACTATGATAGTAAAACAACTTATTGTTATTACACAACTTATCAGAAAACTATGTCAACATGACTTGGACTTAAAAATTTCGCCAATGTATGATTTTTAAGGAAANCTCTGATTTTAGCACCACCATGAATGAAGCTATGAATAAATTAGCAGTATTTCCATTTACAGATACTTAATTTGACGGCTTCAAGAGCATTAGTCTAGAAATAAAGGCTCTATAAAGTCTTTTACTGGTATACATTTTTTTTACTACTACAGTCATTAATGCTGAAAGTATGAATAAATAATCAACAGAAAAAAAGAGTGGCTTCAGATTGCTCTAGCAACTAAAAAGTAAAACTTGTTTTTGACGAGTGCATGATATGATGCGCCTCATGTCCCTTCAACAAATGTTCAATTTCGTAGAAGAAAATCAATCAATGTTATCTAGATCGATTCTCTATCCCATTAAAAATGTTTATTTAATCAATTTCCATTTTTGTGATATTTCAAAAAATTTCAAATGCACTGAATCATTAACTTCAGGTGTAAAATTGATAATGATATGAAAATGAATTTTTCTATTAGGTCACTTATATTGGCATTGTATTTTGAAGTAATTTTGTAAAAAATAGATCTATTTTGTGAAGTATATTAAGTGGCATTCATTGATGCTAAAAATTGTACACCACTACCTTACCAAATTAAACAGTGTTTAATATTGCTTTTATATAAATAGTTATTTAAATTTTTTTATATCTAAAAAAAAAAAAATGGAAGCGTACACATGTTTTACACATAAGTTACAAATAGACCACTTAATTTGTGTGAATTGATCATCTAATGAATAGAAAGATTATATCATATAAAACTTTAAAAAAAAAGGAATTATTTTGAGTTAATAGCTCACTTATACATATATCTTATAATGCAGCACAGTTTACATGATGAAAAATTATAATCACTAAAACTTTAATTTTTATTGACCAATCAATAATACTTCTAGTATTATCAAAAGTAAATAATCAGTTACTCACATGCTTTTTTTCCATAAAAAGCCAANTTGTATTGGCTGTCAGTGAGCTGCGTTATTTTTTTATATGAGATTAATGCGTTTTTATAATTTTATACCGCTAAGTTAAAATTAGGTAAGCAATTGTATACAGCTTACCGCTACTGTTAGTAGATTCTTCTTCTGTTCTCGTACTGTTGAACGGAATTTGAGATGATTCGAAAGCTGAAGTTTCTAAAAATGATTATTGAAAATTATTTCACATTTATAAACCAATATTTACATTTTGTGGGTTCTTAGAAAGATTTTTGGTATTAAAATGCAAAGCAGGTATTAAAAATTTTTTTCTTGATTGTGTAATTGTTTTCTATGTTATACGGAACAAACACATTTTGCGATTCAATAAAAACAGTAGGCTAATTTTACTTCAAAGAGCATTAAAGAAAAAATATTTAAAAAAAAGTTGTTACTAGTGGTTATTATATTTCATTAACGTTACGTCTAAGACCGTGATTTCATTTTTCTTGTTAGTCAAAAAGCTCAGAATGTATACTATATAAATACAAAATATTATTGCACAAAGATTTCGAAGTGCGAGATCGTAAGTATTATTTTACGTAGTGCATAGCATTTGCCGTAAAGTTTGTAATTACAATCCAAAAAGAATTTTATTGCATAGTAAAAGTTTTGAATTCTTTGGCATATTTAGTTTTCTTGAGAGCATCCATATATATTTTTATAGAGAATTTATTCCGAGGTATTAAAAACTAGTACAATTATATGTAGGATTTAGCCTATTTTAGACGGTTGTGTAGTGATATGAGGCATCTACTAATATAAGTAAATTAACGGTCAAGTTTTTACAAATTACAGTTTTATATTGTTCATCAAACATGTTTATTTGAAAAAACTTTTAACTTTTATAAGTAGGTAGTGATTTTAACAAANAATCAGTTACTCACATGCTTTTTTTTCATAAAAAGCCAATCAATCATAACAATTTAAAATAATTAACGTCCAATGCCATATTACACAGCACCTTATATTTTGTAATGTTAAGCACAGATGGTAGAACTATTCTCATTTCATGATTGCTTATTAAGTGTAAAGCTGAAATACCATGTACGTTATGTGAATTGAAGTCCTTTACTCGAAATACACTCATTTTACGTACACAGAAGCCTATGAAAATCTATCTTAATACACCATTTTTTTTTAAAAATTGTCGTAACTGAATTGCTAAAATCTGTCAATGTAATACATGAACTAAAAATCCACTAGTAATACAGTAATTTTATTTATCAAAGATGATTTACAGTAGATTTTTTCATATTAGCGTNAGCTCAAAAAGCCAACGTGTATTCACTTCTCCCGCTCTCGTCCTTTCCTCTCCCTCGCGCAACCCATATTGGGTGGAAGTAAAAAAAAAAAAATTTAAAAGCAGTCAGGTAGTTTCTGTTTTTTAAGGTAAAATCATAAAGTACGTGTACCATGTATCTAAGGAAGAATATACATACAAATCAAATGCCTAGTGTTTAAATGTCTAAGAATTGTACAGAAAATCTTACAAAAAACGAAATTTTAATGAAATCCAACGTTATAAAGTATAAACAATAATAAACTATAATTGTCTTGAACAAACTTAAAGAAATAAATAATTCGCACATTTTTGAGGATTGTCAAGAGACTAAAATGTAAGAAAATTTAGTGTAAACTGATTCTAAATTAGACTTACTCAACTATTTGACAGCAAATGCGAAGTAGAAGCATAACACATTTATAAGATTTAAATCTCGTATGAACATAGAAATATGCATTAAATATGATGCTTCAAAGGTTGAAGTATACTTTGTACCTGATGCTCCACATCCATTGAAATAGGCATTCAAATTATTCTCATATGTGATTGGAATTTCATTAGGTTGTAATTTAGTGAATAACTCAATGATTATACCATTATCTGTAACATAATTATGCATTGTGATTTTGTCAAAAAAAATTGAATAAAATGGTACTTTACTATATCACGACACCTCTGACGAAGAAACGTACTTGACGTCACGTTACAATGCTCATGTAAATGGTGACTTATCGTCCTGTACGTTTCTTTATCAGAGATGTCAATTACTACTTATGAAATAGGAGAAGTACATAGCCTTTTCTGTATAACAGTAATAAATAAGCTAAAAAAAAGAGCTACGTAAAACAACTAAATATTATACATGTCTGACAAATATTCTATAATACATGTACATAAATAAGACAAAGTAAAATGTCTATTCTTTAACTTTGTGAAAAACATTTAAAAAATTGTAGTTGAAGATTCACAATATTTTACACGGAATTTCTTAAACATATGTAAATTATGTATTGTCAATAAGCCACCTACTTTTGTCATTAGGGAAAACAATGGAGCTTTTTTTATAAAGATCAATTTAGCAATGTTATTAGTAGGCTTTTTCAGAAGATAAAAGCATTAATAGATTATGCTGTAAAACTAATTTTACATAAGTTATCCTGAACAAATAAGGTCACTCAAATATTGTGAGACTAAAAACGGAAATTTAGGTATCTCTAAAATAGTCATAATTAACCAAATTCAAAAAATTTATTTCCGTAACTTAAAAAACAATTTACTTTCAAGGTAAATGGCACTCTTTTTATATCGTTTACTAGAAATGGGCAACTTTTCTTTCAATAACTTAAAAACACCGTATGCGTTTACTAAGAAAATATGGGACTATGTCTGAAGGTGATAAATTGATCAATAGTAATTGTGTATTTTTAACTCTCTATAATACAAAAATTGAATAGCACACCACTTCAATGCAGCTTACTACGCGATTCATACAGCTTAGTTTCTCATTGTTTCTGTTTTTAATCCAATCCAGGATCTATATTTTAATTTTAAATAAAGACTCA